ACACACACACACACACACACACACACACACACACACACACACACACACACACACACACACACACACACACACAAATTAAACTGATTTGTTGTTTTACCTTCTGCTAAAAAGGATGTTGGTTAAACTGAAAACAGCTCATGATGCTTGTAGAAAGAGCTCTGATGTAAAAGGATGACAAAAAGAAGTGACWCATACTTTTACCAGCTTGTTGCAAAGAAAACACTTGGAGGTCTTCTCATCCCCCTCAGACGCCAGAGACTGCCTCTTCTTTGCCCTCACGCTGCCAAAAGCGACAGGGATGTGCAGGGGGGGCTGCAGGCCGGGCTCAAAGTCCATCCTGTACTCCTGTCTGAGCCAGCGCACTGTCAGCGGCAGCCTGCTCCACGGCGCCACCTGCAGCATGTTGGACACCACACGCCAGTGGAACTGTAGGCTGGACTCCTTCCTGCCCCTACGAGACACATGAGGGAGTCTGCGGGAGGAGTGTGGGTGCTGCCACGCCCACTCAAACTGAAACAGCACAGGAAAAAGRCTTTTACTGGATCATTCAGACATTTGTGCTTTTCATTCATTAAGGCTGATGATCCGCAGTAAATATTTCATTTATTTTACTGTATATGATCATTAAAAATAAATCTAATAATTCAGACATGCCTCAAAACTAGGATTTTTCTAAATTCCAACCTTCTGGCATTAAGAAACAATAAAAAAAGAAAGAACTAAAAATGTTTTTGGCAGTCATAGTTGAATTTTTTTTAGATGGAGTGAAGGAAAAAGTCAGCTCCATCAGTGATTTAGTTATAGCAGCAACAAACAGAAAACATTCATTTCTTATTGATTCCAGTTGTAAAACTGAAATAAAGTTTATTTTTATCTGCTGTGTCTACAGTCAGAGACTCAGTTTCCACACAGGAAATAAACTGAAATGAAAATGTTCTGATATTTTGTTTTGTCCTGTTTTAGGTATTATTCTGGGTGAGATGTCAGCTGACTGAAGGTCAGTTTACAGGAAGGATTGATGATTGGTTGGTGCACATCAGCATGTTATAATGATCATAAGCTGATCCATTCATTTGGATCAAACGGTTTTTCATTATTAGAAAATTAATGTAACACATGGTCAAAAATCTTTGAATTCAACAATTTAGTATTCTGTGGATTTAAAGACATGAGGAGACTTAAACATTAACAATCATTAACTAATTATTTAATTCACCTAAAGAGCCTGTGACATGCCTAATCCTTAAAATACAAAAAGTCAAAGAAAGCATCTTTATACTTTATAGAAAATTTCCTCTCCACCGTTTGCTCAGGATGAGAGACTGTGATGAAGTGATTCAACACAATCTGCTGGTTTCTTCTTTACATTGTTCTTTTAATGTACAGTGCCCTGAGACAACGTATGTTGTGACTTGGAGCTATATAAAGAAACTGAATTAAATTGAATTGAAAATTGGGATAGTACACATGATTTTACCCATTTTGTCACATTACTGGACTATTTTCTTTTGAACTAGGCTCAGTCGAAGTGAAACAGGAAGTGACATCAAAGGGGAACTCATTAATAAAGTAAACTCGCTGGTCTCTGTTTATTAAAACAAAATTATTTAAACTTAAACTCTTCTTCATCTACCTCATAGTGACTAGGGTTGGGCATAATCGTATCGTCTGCAATTAATCGTCAGAAAAACATTAATCGATTACTTTTTGGCACTTGACGATTAATACGATTAATACGATTAATACGATTAATACGATTAATGCCAGCAGGCAGACTGACTGGGGATTACTCTGCTCGGTGCTCCTCTCTGCTTCAAATATGATAAACATTAAAAATGAAGTTCTGTGATTTATTTATCTATCAACACAATTGATGTATATCCTGAAATCTGTAATTTTCACACAATTTGGAACAATTTTTATAAAGAGCAAATCTTTCCCACTAAATTGGTCATGTGACTACGAAATAAGGGTGTCCAGGGACTCCAGGGGATTAATCGTCAAATTAATTGTTATCGGCTAAATACCACAATTAATCGTGATTAAGTTTTTTGCCAATATTGCCCAACCCTGATAGTGACTCAAAATAATCTAACGAAACATCAGATTCTTCTCTACAGTCTGTTTTGTTATTTTTGGAGCAATGCTCTGTTTACATTCAGACATTCCCCTTTGACATCACTTCCTGTTTCTTCACATGTAAATATCTCAACAACCGTTAACCTCAGTGACGTGAAATTTGTTTTGCAATATTTTATCATTGTCTTCTTTCTAAAAATGCATTAATGCTTATTACAAAAAATTGATGTCACAGGCACTTTAAGGCTTGCTGGGAGAAATTTATTTTATTAGAATTGGTTTTATTTTTATTTTTTATTGTTTATTTGTGTTTAATTTTATTTTATCAAAGTGATTTCTGTCACAGATATTTCCCCGTCTCTCATTTATTTTACTGTGCATTTTGTTTCCTTTAAATTTTCTATCAGGACACTCTGATGTCTTCCCTGGTCGACCAGTATGTTTTCCTTTTACAACCGTATTGTTTAGGTTTCAGCGCCAGCTGACTGACAACCAAAATGTTTTCCAAGTTTTGTGCTGATTTCTCCTCTTGAAGAGGTTTCATAATCCTGTCCTTTGTTTCAGCTGACATGTTGGAGCCATGAATCGTGTTTCTCTGTTCAACAYGTGAGAACTCCAGCTGAAGACTAAAGAGCAGATCATCTGATGGAGGTGTTTGTTTTACAACTACTTTCTTCTGYCTGATTTAAAACAGTAACTGTAACAGACTACAACATTTACATCTGTTTTTATAGTTTCCTGACCATGGTGTGATGTCCATAAACTGCATAATACAGACAAAACAATGCAGCCTGGGTCAGCTGGAGACCACAGCCATGTGGACGTACACAGACAGAACATCAAACAGCTTGAGTCATACTAAACATAATTAGTCTGACCATAAAATCAAAGGCTCAGATATTAAATCTGCAGAAGACAACAGGTAAAATCATGGGTACAGGTGCACCTTTAACTTTACAGACGGCCCTCAGGCAGAGTCTTGTCAGACATCTCTCATGTCTGAATATATTTTAATGAACTCAGGAGGAATTTCTCCCAGTGGAGACTAATAAAGGCTGTTGGACTTTGATCTTGGAGGATTAGTGTTCATGACTGATGAATACTGAAGCTGTGGAGCTGTGTGCTCCTGTCACTTCACTGAACTCACCCTCAGGGCAGCTATATCTGAGGGGAAGCCATGGATGATGAGGACCATCTCCCTGACACAACAAGAGCAGATTATAAATGACTCCTCACAGACCACACCGTGTTGAAGACAGACAGGACGGAGCTCTCACCACGGCCCTCTTCCGCTGGTCCTCTTGGCTCCCCCTCGGTGTCTCCCGGCGTTGTGCTGCCCGATCCTCCGCTCGGGGTTCACGGTGAAACCGATGTAGATCCGGCCTTTGAACTTGGGGTTTGTGCAGTATAGCATGTACACACCAAAAAAACCTTCAACTTCTACTACCATAGTCAATAATATTACCTCCGTGCTCATCAGTTATTTTAAATTCACCTGGAAAACATGCTCATTTCCGTTCTTCCTGGAGTTTTAGTTGGCCGCAAGACTGCCTGACCAAAACAATGTTYCAGAAGACCCTTTATATTTATTTCTGTTCACCAGAAACTTTGCACTACATAAAACAGACAAATAAGATAGGTCCGCTTATTAAAAACAAACTATATTATATGTTAGTGTACTTATTAAAATAATTTAGTTAGTGCATCTATATGAACACCTAATRTTAGTATTTGTTGTTTTCAAAACGCCTCTCTGCACTCCGATTGGTCAGATTTGAGGTCCTTAATGACGTCCTGCCGGCACTCGTGAACGGAGCAGAACATCTCTGAAGGTAGCATTTTAACATTTGGACACTTATAATTTACAGAAATATAAGGATTGAGAGCATGTTAGCTTGTAGAATGTCGAACCACTTCCGGTGTCAGATTGTGTATCYGTTTCACCTTTCAGAGATTAATAAATAGTTTAAAGGACGACTAAACCATAATTAATGATTGTTTATTTGCAGACATGGCAGTAACAGCTGATCACATCCGGGAGAAACTCACTAAAGAGCTCGTGGCAGTGCACGTGGTATGTGTTTTTACTGCTATTTTTACATTTTCAGCTTTCAACACTCATTATTGTCATTTATTTGGGTATTAACACAATGGGGAACAATGATTATGTAATGCAATAAATACAGAAACYATAAACAGTTTTCATCTGATTATCATGCAGTGCTGAAACTACAGAGGTGCAAACAAAACTAGTCTGGAGCTGTGAGGTTTTAATATAACTATAGTTCAAACTTTGGTCTCTTTCTCCTACACACCATCACACAGKGAAGTTATTAGTTTTTACATTTCARTCTGATGAGTTTCTGACTCATAAACCTTTACAACAACAATATACTTTGTTCAAGTTTTAAATGAGCTACATTTGCCTGRCATTTAAAATTTGAACTTTTCAGCAGGTCTTTAGAGTTTTTAGAAGCTTGTTAAATCACTCTTTCATAAAAAAAAAATCAGTCACTCGTTTCACAAAAAGGCTTATTTATGCAAGCAGGGTATCAGCTGTAAGCTGCTTTTGAACAAGCCTTCGACTTGTAAAGTTKACTTCTCAGAGTCAGATTGCTACAGAACAAAGCATTTCTTTTGRAAAAAAAAAACACTTATTGGTCATCGACAGAGCAGCGCCGAGCACACAGCTGTCCTGCTGTATGAAAAATAAGAACAAATAAAAACATTTTAAACTGTGGTTAAAAGGACATTCATATCAATATTTCAGGTTCAGCTAGTGTGATCAATACAACACTCGAATAATACCTTTAAAAAGGAAAAATCATATTAMAAAACTGTGATGATGCTATTCTTTCTCTTTCTTTTTTTCATTATTACTCACAAAAGATAAAAATTAACTGTGCCTGCCAAGGACAGGTCTAATGGAAAGCTTTCATCTGATATTTAAATGTTTAAATTTGAGGTTGAGTTTTTGTTTGTTTTGTTTTTACAATCTGATGTTGAAAATGAAAATGTTCAACYTTTCAGTTAATTTGAACACTTTGAGTTCACTGACATCCAGTGTWGGAGTTAATTCACAGAGTGGATTGGATCAGTTTTGTCTCAACACTGGAGTAATTAAATCTAAGGCTCTGCCCACTATGAAGTGTTGTGACACTGAACAGTGTTGTGATAAAACACCATGCAGTGTTGAAAGAAGTACCTCTTCTACCTCATCCAAACTACCCGGACCGATGGTCTCAGAGGTTCAGGAAGAAAAAGTCAGCAGCAGCTGCTGCTGATGATGATGATGTGTCTGCATCCCTACAAGCTGTGATATGTTCATGTCGATTCTGGTTCATTGGAATCCCTTTAGTCTAAACACAGTTCATACCTACCTGTTTCAGCTCTGCACTCATTCTGACATCAGCAATGTTACATGTTGAGGATAGGACGCYATCACAACATCAAACACTAATAAAWCTAATTAATAAGTCCGTATATAAAGGTCAACATAAAAGTAGGTGTAAATGACTGAAATAATGATCAAACACCAACCTTGAATACTGGAAATAACTACTGTATTTGAGCACATGGTGTGAATTTTACCAAGTTGTACTTTCACAGTTTTGGTCATTATGCTCMYATACTTTCTGGGTACTAACAGAATWTTTGTACTCATTTTGGCAGCTTCCTCAGCACTGATAATTCAGTGGTACTATTAATATTTTCTGTAGTTTGATGGTCAAATTTTGGCCTAATCCGTCAACTCTAGCTTTAATCTCAGAGTTTRGCTGACGAGGACACAGAAATTCATGGAGCTTTAGTATGAAACAGTCTGAGGTGGAGTTATGGTTTAACCAGCACAAGTACCAAACTGTCTGTGGTCTACAGTCTCATTTTGAAGCTGGGGACATTTTCCTGGACAGCATGTAAAAAAAGGGAAGTGTCCCCTGAAAATGTTTTCTGTCTAACCCCTGCTGATGGAAGAATGCATCTTGTGTTTTTTCAGGACATTGAGGATACCTCCCCAAACAGATGTGCCACCAGTTTCAAAGTTCTGGTGGTGTCGCCCCAGTTCGAAGGGAAACCACTGTTACAGAGACACAGGTACCACCCACCASAGTCACTAAAGTCGGTTCATTCAACTGCTCATGCTTGTAAAATATTACTCTGCACATTTACTACAACCCCAANTGTCAGAAAGTGTTCTATTCGTACTATTCGTACTATTCGTAGTGTCATGCAACTCAAATGGTCTCAATTACTACTCTTGCTTCTATTCTGCAGTTCTTACTTTCTTCCAATTTGTGCTGTGTGCTAAATATATATTATTCTATCTTATTTGAAATATATATTTTTTCTATATAGCTGGTTTGCATTAGTATTTGATATGATACCAGAACCATGTGTTGAGAGCTTTGGTCATGTGGTATGTTTGCTACAGTAATATTTTCATTTGACCCCTAGAGGACTCTGGAGACCACATAATTAATCAAACTCGTGTGGCTGTGTCTTCTCCAGGTGCTGGTCATAAAATTAGAAT